GCGGCCGGGACGCCTCCCGGGGCTCCACGGGCTGCCAGTTCCCGCCCCGTCCAGGGAGCGGGGTGATTGACAGGAAACTAGCCAATGACGGGAGACTCCCGTGAACCTCTGTGTCCCGGCTCTAAACGACTAATCAAAATGTTCTTCCTCTTGGGCGGGCTCCAGGGCTGCGTTTGCTGCCAAAGGAAAGAATTCATTGGATCGCACGAGAGGAAGCAGTCGGAGCATCACTTCCGGAGGTGGCTGCTCCTCTGTGGTATTTCCCAGAAGTCCCTGGTTTTTGCCGTCAGTACGGGAGAGAGCGGGTTTCGCTGCTCGCCGGCACCGGTTGTGCAGTTTTGATTGGCACCTGAATAAGCCAATCAACGCTTCGGAGAAGGAGCTCCGGAAGGTCTTTCCCCAACAGCCTCATTGCTACGAGCAGTGAGCGAACTTGGGTTAACCCGGGGGTTCCCTCTTGTTAAGTTCGGCCACTCCGCTGACCTTGGAGTGCGGGGCTCCCGGGCCCTCTGCCGTAACGCTGTGCTCTTCCGCAAGCCGGAACAAATCTTAAACAGGAACTGAAGGACGGAAATCCCTTCCCCCGAGGGAGGTAGAAGAAGCTGCAGCAGGCCGCGTGCGGTGCAAAGCTCTTGGGTTCGGGTCCGGCCCTCGGCAGGCTAGATCCCTGCCGATGAGTTCGTCACGACCCGGGCCTTTGGCCTCGAGACTTCGCCCTAAATTGAGTCCATTTCTGCAGGATGAGGCCCAAATGCTGAGCGCTAGCCCCCGCCCCAGCTCACCAGTGTAAACACAAACATAGATTAAACCCAGATGTCGCCCTGGTAAAAACAGATGGCTCTCATCCAGAAAAAAAATGCGTCGCTATGTGCCAGCAGATGGCATGGTGGTTATGGCATTACACTCACATGGCTGGCCCAGTTGGAGTCCCAGACCCGGTGGCTTAAAAATCAACCGGGGGGGGGGTAATGTGTGCGTGGGTGTCCAAGATCCCACGAGGAAGTATTGCCACGCGGCCAGGACGGGGGATTTTTCACTTTTCCTCTCGCTGTCTCTGTCTCTGGTGAGAGCACACGCTCTATGGCTAAAACCTGTAAAAAATGCATCTCTGTGACTTCAGTATTAATTTGCAAAATTCTTTTTCTTTTTTCTTTTCTTTTTTTTTTTTTTTTTTTTTGAGAGGTTTTTTTTTTTGGTCACGTCTCACTTTTGAGAGGTTTTTGTTATAGGGCACGTGCACTCATCAGAAAGACAGAGAAAGACAGAAAATGAGAAATCACCCCACCCAGGAGGGATGGTCACGCTGCAATCCCTTCTCCATTCTCCTCTCGGCATCTTGGGCACACACAGCACCCAGCCTGAGTTTAAGCCGCCGGTCCGGGACTCCAACCGCAGTCGACTACATGGGAATCCAGCAACATAGCCATTACGCCAACTGCTAGCCCCCAGAATGATTTTCTATTTGCAAGCCACTTTTGCAAACATTGGATTCAGCTGCTGGAGTAGATAGAAAAGGCAGTAGTGGAAACTCGGGTATAAAAATGTGAAAAGACGTGCCCAAGGTCAGCCTCTCAGCCAGGGCTTTTGAAGTAAACCACGTTTCTGGATTCTAAGCTAAAACCTAGGCAGTCCGTTCAAGAGGCGCTGTTCAGCTATTACAAATGAATCACCACCAGTCAGTGGAAACGCAAGCAGGCTGTCTGGTTGAGTCTCAGATGCATCTTCAACCTTGGACGCTAATTTCGGTGGTCTTGCCTTACTCCCATAACCAATCTGTTGCCAGACTAGCCAGGTCTGTTGTTGTTCGGATTTGGGTGATATAGATTGGAGGAAGTACTTGTCTGATTTGGGGTGACACTGAGGAACTGGTGAGACTTGTGTGGACTACTCCGGGTAGCTCATAACCCTAGAATAATATTAATTCACAGCATAAATAAAATATCTGAGAAATTTGATCAGCCTATACTAGGTGGAACAAAATCCAAAGTAATTCTATTAAATATGCCAAATGAATGATACTAGCAGATAATTTAAAATAAGCTGTTAAGAGAGTTTTCGGGGGGCCAGCAGGTGGTGTGGTGGTTAAGGGCACTGGACTTTCACATGGCTGACCATAGGTGGAGTCCCAGACCTGTGGCTTGCTTTCTCACTTTCTCTCTCTTGCTGTATTGCTCTATTTGTCTCTGGTCAAATTAAAATAAATAAAATAATTCTAAAAAAAAAGTCTCTATTAAAAAAAGTCTCTATTAAAAATCAACCGGGGTGGGGGGGGGGAACTAGAGTTATAAAGAATAGAAATAAAAGAGTCTGGGACCAGCAGGTGGCATATTGGCTACGTCACTGGACTCCCAAGTAATCAACCTCCATTCAAGTCTCAGACCCAGAGGCTTAAAACTCATGTTGGGGGACCAGCAGTTAGCATAATGGCTATGTCGCTGGACTCCCATATAGTTGACCACGGTTCGCATCCTGGACCCTCCCACGTGGGAGGGTTCTGGGT